CACCCTCCCCCTCCTCCTCCTCTACCTCCGCTCATATCCTCCCACCGCTGCTGGACGTGCACTGGACTGGACTACGGGAGAGTCCTGGCGGGGCGGAGCAGGCGAAGGAGCACTGCAGAGCAGGGCGCCCACTCACATCCCATCCCACACATCACACACACACACACTCACATGCACACACACACACGTCCTGCAGACCGCTCTCTGTGGTACCGGTGGGACGAGGGCGACAGCAGGAGGGACAGAGAGACAGAGAGTGCTCTGCAGCAGGAGAGTCAGGAGAGGGGGCGTGGCGCGGTGTAGCAGTCTGTGGGGGCACAGCCTGCTCATGCTCCCCCTCCCCCTAAGCTTCGCGACGCGACGCCAGCGAACGTGACGACGCCCTGCTCCTGCTGATCGCGCGGCCTGGGCTGCAGATGAGACCGTGTGTCCTTGAAGGAGGATGGGGGCTCAAGTACAGAACCACACGGCCACTCCGCCCTCCTGCAGCTGGACTGCATGTTGGACCCTGGACCCGCCACTGCGCCCCATAAGAGTGCCATCTGTCGTCCTGGGAACGATGCAGGGGCACTATAGCTGCCCCAACGAGCTGCCCGCCCGACGACAGACACCGGGCGCGGGCGCCGTCGTCGTGTCGTTTCCGTGAGCTTGGGCCCGGGCGGCGCATGGGCGGAGCCCGCGGGGGCAGACCGTCTGGCAGGAGGACCCAGCCGCGCCCGCGGATGGTTTGGGAAGGAGAGGTGGGTTGCACCACAATGCTCGGCCTTCATTGCGGAAAATGAGACCCAGCCGAATGAACAAAACCCATCGCCGCCGCCGCACCGAACGTTTAGCACAGAACAGAACCGCCGCTTTCGATAGCTTTCGAGATGTGTGGCTGGCGCTGGCCCCCCGTGTAAACGCCGCAGGGCTTTTGCAGGGATCGATGTATCGATCCACGGCCGTGGAACTGCTCAGGCATTGCGACTGACAGTAAGAGGCAGCACGGCAAACACCGGCCGCCGCCGCCAGCTGTCGTCCCCGATTTATGGTTCATTCGATCAGCGCACGGCCCGAACGCGTGGCAGAGGGCAGGGGCGGGGGGAGGCTCGGGGAGGCCTCCATGAGCCCTGTCTGCCAGGCCAACCCCCCGCCCCCCGCGGCCCGGTGAGATTCGAGTTGTCATGCCAACGCTTCTTATACATTCGGCTGTCAAGCTCGGCGCGGGTCTGCTTGGCTTTCCCCCTTTGGTGCCCCTCCACCCGCCCCCCTTTTCCTCTCCCTCACATCTCCCCCTCTCTCCCTCTCTCTTCTCATCTTTCTCTCTCTCTCACTCACTCACTCGCGTGGGCCGCGCGCCGCGCGCACTGCCGTGCCGTGGTGTCCACGCCTAACCTTATACGGGCGTGCTCGCGCGCTGCCTGGCGCGGTGGGGCAGGGTGGGGCGGGGCGGGGTCGAACATGTCCACGGCCCTACCTCTGTTACGTTGGCAATACTTCTTGGCCAGTCGGTCCTGCAGCTCGACTGCAGAAAGGAGCTGGAGCAGAGAGACTGCTGTTGTCATTGTTTTAAATCTCCAAAATATGTTTGAGTGGTCCGATTGTAATCGCGCTGGCTGTCGCTCGGAGGCGCCGCCGGCCGGGCCGGGTGCGTAGGAGGACAGGGCGGTAATGTCGTCACGCAGGCTGCTCTAACTCGGGCTCTAAATGTGCGGAAGGGGCGTTCCCGAAACGCGGCACGGCGGCGCTCACCGCTGCTCACTACACTGGCGGAACGCCCCCGGAACGCCCCCCGAGTCTGAGGCTCTTTAGTCGGACTGGGCGCGTCTCCTAGGTGTGCGCGAGTGTCTCCACGCCACTGCCGTCGTCGCCATGGTGGCGCCTCCCTGCATCCGGAGCACGGGCCGACGCCAAGTCTAAACATCCATAGCTCTTGGGGTTTGTCGCGGCTTTACAGACTGCCGCCGGTGTCGTGTGAACCGCTGCCCTCCGAGGCGCGGCTAAGCACACTGGTGGCGGGGCGGGGCGGGGCGGGCCGGGCCGGGCCGCACCCCCGATTCG